TCCAAAATTAGAAAAATCAATTTATGTTGTTGTTTTGCAAAAGCAAAAAATAATTTATGTAGAAATTATTTGTATGGATCAGCTTCCTAAAAATTACCTAATGCTCTATTTATAACAAGAAGAAAGTCATGAAAAGCTGAGGCTTCTAGCATCTTTTATGTTCAACCCCACTGCACAGAATCAAAAAATGCAAAGCAAAACTATATACTGAACAACAGTGGCTATCTTTGAACTTCTTTAGTTAACAGACCTTACAGGCTTCCAACTGCGTAACAATAAGTTCTCTTCAAGAAATCATAGTATCACTTCATAAAACTTAATGGTGTCCCAACTCCCTTTTGTTATGCGGGACTTCCTAGAGAGATAAATGCTATTAGAGAAGAGCACGCGTTAATAGTTCCTTTCTCTTTCTTTAAATGTAAGCCCAGCATCTATGCCTCAGTTCTTTTTTTCTCAGCTATAGCAACTTACAGTGAACTGCTGGGTCAAGTTAAAGCTTTAGTATCAGTGTACTCTGGCACCCACTTGGCTCAGTGATACTTTCTATATACTTTTATTATTATTATTAAAAAATAAAAGAGAGAGAGAGAAAGACAGAATCACTGTGATTCATGAACCATAGCTAGGTGGCTGATCTTCTTTTTATTTAAAATCACTATTTGTATTAATGTATCCACACTTTGGAACATAAATCTACTGAAGGCAACGGCATGCTGAGATATACTGTCTCATCCCATCCAGCTCTTAATACATGATATGAATTATCTGACAGCTGGTTACCCTCTAGTTCAAATCCCTTATAGTTTAAATATCCAAGCTGAATACCCTACTGGTGAAGGTATTCTTCCAATAGAATGAAGAAAGAAAAAAGAAGCGTAAAAACTCGAGTGTGTTACAAAAGTTTCTCTTACAGAAGTTTGGAAATCTTAAATTACCACAGGACTGACTACTACTATTAAATACACATATTCAAAACGTATTCTTAAAGGAAAATAGATACAATTAATCTCTTCAACATTATTTCTTATCATTAAAGTTATTGCCTATTATTATTTTGAATAGCATTATCTGCATTATCTTAAAATTTAACAGAAGTTACCTTGAAATTAGTAATTTATCAAGTTATTACATGTATGATATAAGTACCCACATACATGTCTAAAATGGTTAAATTTGTTTTTTATTTAAAAGATGATTTAAGAAAGTCATTATTTTTCTGTGCAAATAGACAAAACATCTGTCTTAAGAGCAGATGCTTTTTGACCAATTTAATAATCAGGAAATAACTGGGTTGAGTAAACTTTCTAACTAAAGTGTAACATAAATATAGAAGAGTATTCAAATATTAAGCACACTGCTCAATACACTTTTTTGCCATATAAACTGATTTTGAAAAATATATGAGTTTCCAAAAATAACCAAATGACAAATAAACTAAATAGCACATTACCCTTATAAAAAATTAATATGTAAAATAGCCTGAGCTTTTAAGGACTTTTTCGTTGTGGCTTAAAGGAACTAACTTACTGTCATGATAGAATAGACTTTCAATTTGAGTTTGGCATTTACAATATTTTTTTTCTAAATGATTACTTTAAAAACATTACTATTTTTATTTCAATGTTTCTAGCTTTGACTCATATTATTAATAAAAAAGAACTGTCATATTCTTCTGTATAGCACTTTAAAACCTATAAAGCCTTTTTACATAAAATATATGATCTGATTCTTGCAACAACTACATGACGTGAAAGAGATGGGATTGGAAGGTGTCTTTTCCCAAATTGCTGTTCATTACACCATACTTGCTTAAAAGTTAAAATCACATTTAACTGACAGAAAATAGTTTCCTTTTTGTAACTTTTTTTCTATTTTGATCATGCTGTGTGTCAGGGGGAAGTTTGCCTTTGATTTTTAAGTGATGTGCTTTTCTTCCAGACAAGTCTCACAAACATAATATAAAAATACATATTCTTATAACATATTAGCAATTAGAGTGTGCCAAAGGCATTAGAAAACAAAGAAGTAGGAAAAGCATAAAACATTATTAAAATGCTTGTGTTCCTTAATTTACTGTATTTGTATTATCATATTACTTCTTTTTAGTGTTTACGGACTAATAGTATATTACAGACTTTCCTTCTGAAGTCATGCTCAAAACTTCCCAGCCCTCCTACACACATTCTGCCACCACAGGATCCTCTTGGATCAAAGCCAATTTGAGGCACATTCAGTCTGAGACACAACCCCTGGGAGGCTCTGAAAAGGACAAAGCAGAAACAGCAGTTGCAGAGGCCACACTGTAGGGCAGAAGTGGGCAATGCATGCTTCTCTGGGGGTTGCCAAGTTTCCTGGAACGGCAGATACATGCTTCTTGCACAATACCCAAAACTTCTGCTACTGTCTGTCCTTTGCTCAACTTAAGCTGCTATCAATTTGATGAAAAACAAAAAAGCATAACAGTGGTTAATAGCGATGATGGCAGAAATTAGTATTGCAATGTCTTACACTGATTCTAACAGATAAGTCCTATTTTAAATTATATAATTGCTGCTACTTCAATGTAAATTTGAGCACAGGGAAGGTACTGAGAATTACTGGAAACTTTCAAAAGAAGGGTGGAATATATATACATGGACATAAAAATAAAAATTACAATAGCAACGTAGATGGGGAAAAAAACAAAGGGAGAGAAGTCGTTAATTATTAGGGCAAAATTACATCACATTTCTCTATATCCACTCCAAAGCTTATTGCCCTCAGAATTTCAACTGTTCTCATACAAAGAAATTTTTTATAAATCTCCATTCTAGTTCCATAAGTCGAATACACTGTGATTTTCAATGCTTATTTGATTTCATCAGATTTCTGAAACAACAGAAATTCTCAGCCTTTTTGTTTAGAATCCACATATAACTTCCCTGTATCTTACATTTTCAAATAGGATAAGTAAATTGAAAAGCAAGAAGATCAATGACCAGATGCCCAGGAATATCTATGCTTAATGCACGGGTGTGAAGAAGATGTCTGGAAGGAGAAAAAGAGAAGAATAAGAGGAGAGTTAGTTCCACAAAAAGAAGAGAATAATTACACAAATAGACTCCTTAACACTATTAGATGATGAAAAGAAGTCAGGAAAAAATACAGATTTTTTTACAATGGTAAAATCACTGATAATCACTGATAGTTCTCAACTAGGAACAATTTTATCTATCAGGGCACATTTGGCAATATCTGGAGATTTTTTTTTGCTGTCACAATTAGGGAGTTCCACAGCATTTAGTGGGTAGGGGTCAGGAATGCTATTAAATATCTTACAATGCATAAGACAGTCCCCCTAACAAGCAATTATTCAGGACAAAAGGTCAAGAATGCAGATGTTGAGAAATTGTATATAACAGAAGCTAAAATACATAAAATTGAGGAATTCATGGGCAGTGAGAAAATAGGTATAGCTAGCATCAGGACTATTTGCCTTGTAGGGAAAAAGAGGGATAGAATGAAGAACTTTAGGAGCAGGGAGGATATAGAAAAAAGATGCTTTTTCATTGTGCTCTTCAAAGATGGGAAACTACGCAGTGTTGTAAACTGACAGTAATGAAAAGACTTGAAAAAAAACTAAAGAAAAAGCAGAAGACAAACTGAAGAGTACTGTTCTAAAGTAGGTGATGAGTTGAAATCAGGACAACTAATAAAAACATTTGCTTAGAAGGAATCAACTATTTATCTAAGATCAGAAGAAATGAAGGATTGATGCGGGGAAAATATGAATGCGGGGAAAGGGGGGGAGTTTACAAGAAAAGAACAGTTTTAGGAGAGTATTTGAAGTTTACACTCTCTGCCTGCATTAAGTAGCTGGTCTGCGATTCCTTCTCTCTGTTACAGGGGGGAATGGTGTGTGTGCTTTCTGGATAACAAGAAAGCAGATGACCCAGCATAGTCTCCTTGTAAACATATTATGACAGGCATCCTAGCAAACTGGCAAGCTAAATGGTTTATACTAAAAGAGTTTATCTATGGGCTGTATTTGGCAGTATATGACTAATTACATAGAATTGCTTATGAAAAATAAAGCTGGAATCTAGAAAATTATGGGATATAGCTCCCCAGAAAATGTCTGTCAATGCTGTATAACTGAGTGCAAAATAGAGTTGTTTCATATTGGGACGGTTTCTTCTGTGTAGATGAGGCAACCAAAACAATTCAAACCCCATCCCACAATCTGGGCCAGGGCCTAGCAGAAGCAAAAAGAAAGGGCTGGGGGAGCTGGGAGATAGTCCAGATCACTCCTTGTTTCACTTGTGCCTTGACCCCTGATAAAGGTTCTGATTTATGTGAGTCTTTCTTGCATATAAAAGTCTTTATGTCTCTCACTGACACAAATGCTACTCATCAGGTGCTAAAAGACAGCTCGCTGGCTAAAAAAATTATAATTCTGAATGTACACAATAAAGAGCCTAACAGAAAGGACTAAAAGTATTGACATGTAGGTTGTTTCAGGTTGAATGTACCAAGCTAAGAACAATAGAAGATATGAAAAAAGGAGGTATTTCAGAGCGTATGTTTAGCACTAGAGTGAAATGATCACTGAATTGATGATAAAATGACAGCTACTCTAATTTAGGAAAGACTAAATTAAACCAAAAAAAGGTATCACATAGGAAGATTATGAAATTGCAAATGCATAATTCACTTATAAATCACACTATTTTATCCTAACAGTGCAAATATAATGGTTTGTGAGATAATTATAAAAGTCTCAATTTTAAAATTATTTAAAACAGTATGAATATATTTATATTGTACTATAAGCTGCAATGCTCAATATTGAATATAATTCTTCAGGCGTAATATATTTCTTGATCAAGAAAGTCAGAGTCCATTTTGTTTATTTAATGAATTATTGATGTTAATTTAAAGTATTGTATTAAATTAAAAAATAATAGACTAGCTCTATGAAAAATAATTGTCTTCATTGTCAAGCTAGAATAATATAAAAACTTCAGATTCCAGTGACTATCCCCTCAGAAAAGGTAGTTTTTTATTCAAGATCAATTATGAGTTAGAGATCATGCATCTATTCAGATGGTCCGAGATTTGTCACAGATTCTGAATCAATAAACATTGTCTTTTATGCTTTGAAAGCTGTGTCAGCCCATGGAGTTACCTTGATAAGGCACAGGCTGGGCTCGGTGCCTCAGCCTATAATCCCAGTACTTTGGGAGGCCGAGGCGAGAGGACTGCCTGAGCCTGAGGATTCGAGACCCACCCGGGCAACTTGGTGAGAACTCATCTCTGCAATAAATCAAAAATTATCCAAGCATGGTAGTGCATGACTGTATTTCTGGCTACTTGGAAGGCTGAGGCGGAAGGACCGCTAGAGCCCAGTGGGTCGAGGCTGCGGTGGCCAGGAGCGTACCGTTGCACTTCAGTCTGGGTGACAGAGTGAGACTCCAACTCAACAACAACAACAACAACAATAATAATAATAACAAGGCACAAAGCAGTTGTCACCTCAAAGAAAATTAAGAAAAAAATTTTATTCAATTAAAAAAGAATATAAGCTGGGCTTGGTGGCTCAGCCTGTAATTCTGCGCCTTTGGGAGGCTGAGGTGAGTGGATTGCCTGAGCCTGCAGGTTCGAGACCTGCCTGGGCAGCGAGACCTCATCTCAACAATAAAATCACAAAAAATCAGCCGGGCGTGGTAGCGCATGCCTGTAATTCTGGCTACTTGGAAGACTGAGGCGGAAGGATTGCCAGAACCCAGCAGGTCAAGGCTGCGGTGGCCGGGAGCGGCCACTGCACTCCAGTCTGGGCAACAGAGTGAGACTCCAACTCAAAAAAATAAATAAATAAGAATATAAGTCCAAGAATAAAAGGCAAACAACCTTAGTTTTCTAATTTTTAATGTTAAAGACATAAAAACTATCTAATGGGTATCCTAGATAAGTATGGTTAAAGAAACAATATCTAATTATCTTTTACTAGTATCCTTTTTAATCATTTCCTTGATAAATAATAATAATTACAGTTTTTTAAAAAGCTTTGAACATATATTATTTAATACCATCATTGTTACATGACTGTTTATATTAAGATTAATAATACAATCACAGAAAAAAATATGTGCTAAGCTTCTTCTCGTGTAAACTGTATCATGTGAACTGTACAAAGAGAAACAGTAATGATGATACTGTAATTTTACTCAAACTGATCTCAAAGTCATTTAAGATGGAGTGAGTTAACTTTATGAATAAGCTATTCATAGTTTTGCACAACATATAATGTAAACACAACATATAAATTGTGACAGCTTCTAAATGTAAATAACTTATCCCTAAAGCTAGAAAGAAAAAAAATAAATGAAATACTTTACCCAATCCTGCTTTAAAGTCAACTCTGAATCTGTAAGCTTATAAAAAACGAAGTGAGTTGAACTAGATAAAATACGTAGAGGAGTTTAAAAATCTCTCCTTATATATAATTGACCAAGAACTTATATTTTTAATTGGTTCTCCAATAAATAGCACAGATAATTGACTACTTCCTGTCCTTGTTATATGGCCAGTTCATAACTATTGTTATGATCCTGGAAGCCATCCATAAGGCTGATAATCCTAAAATGAATTACGCTTCTACTGGAACAATGTCATAATTGGTATGGTATAGTCTTCTTGGTCAAGATCTTAGCATCAACAAACTAGGGCTTTAATAAACAATGTATCATTTTAAAATGTGTACATTCATATAATAAATTAAAATGTCAAAAATGTGCATATCACATGCAACAATTGTACTGGAAGACCTAATTCATAACTATATGAGCATACATCACTACCCAATTGTAATTTTACCTTTAATTCATTCATATGTATTAGATGCCTATTTCTGTACCAGGAATGCCAGTATTGCATAGTTTCTTCCATTTAAATGAATGAAGTCTAACAGGTAAAATGAGACACATTCAAATAACTATGTGGTGAGTAACCCATATCTGATACAGTCTAAAAAGTTGTTGAGAATAAAATTTCACTGGTAACTAGAAAAACCAGTAAGGGCATTATGGACTGGGGCTATTAACCTAAAATTATACCAGTTATCAACAAATGGAATTTCATGCTTAGTGAATAATATTTGTGATATCCCTTCCTAAAATGTATAAAAATTGAAAAGAATGATTTGTGTGGTTCCATTTCCTTGAGAATATTAATAACTCCTTTAATATTAAAGGAAACAGTAAGATTTGCCTAAATTCCATTAACAATGAATTATAGCAAAAGCTACAATCATTATTTTAACCCCCAAAAATCCATGAACATTTTTATCTATTGGAAAGTCTCGTTAAGAGTTTCAGAATTATGATCTACAAGGAACTCAAACGTGTCGAAAGGAAAAAAACAAATAACCCTATTAAAAAGTAGCTAAAAGATATGATTAAACATTTCTCAGAAGAAGACATTTGAGCAGGCAACAGACACATTAAAAAATGCTCAGCCTCAGTAATCAGCAAAGAAATGCAAATCAAAACCACACTGATACACCACCTAACTCTAGTCAGGATGGCAATCATCAATAACTCAAAAAACAACAGAAGCTGGAGAGGATGTGGGAATGCTTATTCACTGTTAGTGAGAGTGTAAACCAGTACAACCTCTGTGGAAAACAGTGTGGCAATTTCTAAAAGATCTAAAAATTGACCTTCCATACTATCCAGCAACTCCCTTTCTAGGAATATACCTGAAAAAAAATCACTCTATAAGAAAGATACCTGCCCACACATGTTCATTGCAGTATTATTCACAATAGCAAAAACATAGAACCAACCGTGCTGCCCACTGAAAGGGGATTGGACCAAAAAAAATGTGATAATACACATGATAGTATATCATGCAGTCAGAAAGAAGGACAAAATTATGGATTTCACAGCAACGCGGATGGAGTTAGAATCTATCGTACTCAGTGATCTCTCACAGAAACAAAGATCTGAGTATCACATGTTCTCACTCACACGTGAACCCTGAACATTTATCATAACACCGTAAGAAAGGAATTGGCAGCAGGGGTATACTGCCAGAGAAGAGGGAGGGCACATATCATTGATATAAGGGTACCTGATCTCAAACCAGGTGAAGTGAGGACCAAAAAAAGGCCCTAACTTGACCTGCCTGATGACCATTTATGTACTTAACCCTGAATTATGTCCCATATCTTTAAAATTATATATATATAATTATACATATATATATGCTTTAAAAAAGATGATAACAAGGATCATCAAAAAACAAAACTCAGAAGAGGGTAGGAAAAGCAGCAGTCCTTGAAGATATGCATTGTTATACAGAGTAGTTTTCATTTTCAGATAATGTGACACTTGAATAAATCTCTGAAAGAAAGGAGAGATCAGAGTATGAAGTATTAAGAGGGTAAAGGTTCCAAGTAGAGGGAACAACTTGTGCAATGAATATACTTCAGTCTACTTATCCATTTCTCTATGAATGGATATTCTGACTGCCTCCATATTTTTTTGTAGATCACAACAATGCTGTGATGAGCATCTAAGTAACAGTCTCAGGCACAAATGCAAGATTTTCTCTAGAGCAGCACTGCTGTGCTGTCCAATTAAAAAATATGGGCAGTAGACAGGGGACATTCTTGCTGTTGTCCAGCCCATTGTGTCCTTCACAGAGTATCTTTCCTTTAATAAATCTACCTTCCGTGGTTTTAAAAAAAAAAAAAATCCAGGATTAAGAGAAGAAAATTTAAAAAATAAGATCTTCAAACTATTGTCTGTCTTTTGCTCTGTCTTTCAAGCTCACACAATCCTCATTCCACAAAATGGAAGTGTGGAGGAGTGTATTACAAACAAAGCCTGTTGAGTTCTTTTGCCTGGTGGACTCTAGAGGTGGGTGTTTTACAACTGATTTTTTAAACATTAATCCTGAGATTCACTAGGTACCTTCTTCACTGTCCCAGTTGCCTCTCAGCATATCAGCATAGCACCATCAGCTGGACCTCAGTGGCAGAAATAAGCAAAAGATACAAGAGAGTTCTGTGTATATTTAACAGTATCCACTGAGTATGTGAGATAAAGTACAGATAAATCAAGGAAACAGGAGTTTGTGCGCCCATTAAAAATTCTCTAAATTTTGGGTCTCAGTGGTCACAATCCAAACCAAGCAGGTCCTACCCATTCTGAATTTAAACACGGTCAAAATGGTTTAGAATGTTGTATTGAAGTGAAAGCGCTCAACCATATGTCTCCCTATCTGGGATTCAAAATTCCTCAAGGGCTGTCTCTTTCATCCTTGCTTCTTCAGAGTAGATTCTCAATAAATATTTATTGGAAGATACTGTGAATAAGTTAGTGAATAAACAAATGGATGAAGAATTGTAATGAATAAAGGATAAGCTAATAAAGGAGAAAACAGCAGGCTCCAGAAGAAAAGTGAATGAATGCACAGCCAAGTGCTTGGCTATTGCAAATAGGGTTTAATTAGCCTCAGATTATGCAATTATTGTCAATAATGTCTAAATTTTCAAGTTCAACATTAAAAAAACTTAACACGTGACATGAGATGCTAATGATATGCAAATAACTACTTAATCAAACATAAACCTGATCTATTTTTCAACCAAAGAAGTCCTACAGCTTATGTTTTTATGGTGCCATTCACAGTTTCCACGCAAAAGTAGCAGGATGTCAAACCACGAATGAGAGAAATTATGCTGTGTCAGAGTAAAATTGGCCACAAATGAATGGCGGTCAGAAGCACTTAGTACAAACAGTTCAGGGCAACTTTGTGAATGTATTTGCTGAGTAAACTAAAAATAATACCACTTTTAAAATCAACTGCTTAATGCAATAAAAATAAATATAGTAAAGATTGCTTGGGTCATGTGAAAAAGTAAATTTAATTCATTTAAGATATAGATCTCAAAGCCTTTATGTATGAAAGGGAACGCATTTAGTTTCAGAGATGTTTTCATCTTTTTCACCCACAACGGCCAGCACCACGTGAGGCTCAAATTCAGGGCCCATTAAATAACTGTGGACAAAAGGAAAGGAGAAGAGAAGTAGGAAATCTCAGATAATTAAAAGAACTGAGATACAATAAAATATTTGGGAATGTTATAGTCATCAGTGCTTATCAACCATACCTGGGTCTATACCTTCCAGAAACAAGGAAAAGATGATACTTCTTGTTTCGAGTTTGGGACATGAGATTAGATGTGACCAGTGAGTTGTGAACAAAGGTGAAGTGAGCCTCACAGGTGAGAACATTTTACTACTGAGATCTTCAGAGATCTCCTTTTTGATATGGTGAAAGGCAATGTTTGCAATGGCAGCAGCTTCAACAGCCTCGATACAGGAAAAGATATTAAACATAACCCCAGCACCATTCACAGTTGATCACATAACCTGACCACGAAATAAATCCATACTATAATGTCTCTGGATTTGGAGGTTACGTATTTGTTCACTTAGCCAAATGTATCCTAACTCATATACTCAGGCATTTTCCTTGTTGAATGGTACCAGGTCCTCATATCAGCATTTTTGTAGAGCAGAGTGATCTCGTAAACATTTAGAGTTAGAATTCACTGTGTAAGCTGTCAGAGAAACCATGACAATCCTTACAATTATTCATTTATATATCATAGTCTTGAAAGAAATAAGAACTTACTTCTAGAAAAGCTTTCTAAAATTTTTGGACAATCTTAAGGAAAGTATTAAGAAAGGTACTCATTAGAGTAAATTACAAAAATATTTAAAGTGGTAAGGCAAAATACAATAAATATGAGCACTTATCAAATTGTTCCAGATATAGGTTTGCTTCCTTGTAACAAATTTAAGTGAATTCCAGTTTCTTTTGGGCCACTGATGTTCAAAGAGTTAATACATCCTTCCCTTTCCCTTCCAGCTGGAAATATCCCAAGAGTATACAAAACCCCTAAAATTCTGGTATATCTAATCCCTTAGCGCATATCTTTGATCACTCAAGAAACCATCAGCATTTTAATAAAGAAAGCTGTATCTTCTACGAGGGGAGACCATAAAAAAATCAAAATTTACTTATAAAAAATGTGTATTTATTCTTACATGTTTAAACTCCAGTTGCCTTCAAAGCACTCTCCATTTTATGCAATACACCTATCAAGACGCTTTTTCCATTGCTCAAAACAGTTTTTGAACTCAATGATTTTGATGCTTTTTAGTACTTCTGCCATTTTTTGTTTCACCTCTTCCACATCAACAAAGCATTTCCCTTCAAGGACATTTTTCATCTGGGAAAACAAGGTTGTCGGGGTGTGAGCGGGTAAACAGGGAAGGTGGAGTGTAGGGATCATGCCATTTTTGGTCAAAAACTGCTGAACACTCAGCACGGTATGGACAGGTGCACTTGCTGAAAGCACGGTATGCACAGCATGACACATGCTGAAAGAATCTAAAAAAAAAAAAAAATTTTTTTTTTCTCTGAAGCTGAATGCAGCCTCTCACAACACTGCTAGCTGGTACACTGATGCCGATTGGTTCCTGGAACACTTACTTAGTGGAGGAAGCCTGTACTACAAGGGGCCCGCTCTCCAAAATAAGACAATTATTTTTGTTTGGAGGGTTTCTCCCTCATATATTTACAGAGTAAGTATATACCTCCTATGTAGTTCATGAAATCCCTATAAACTATATGGAAGACTGTGTATATTCATATCTCCTACGTGTGAATATTCTCTTTTGTGACAAAGTTTCTTTTCAATGGGATATCTCTCAATAAAAACATAGATAGATACTAGCCGGGTGTGGTGGCTCACGCCTGTAATCCTAGCACTTTGGGAGACGAAGGTGAGACGATTGCCTGAGCCCAAAGGTTCAAGACCAGTCTGGGCAACTTGGTGAGACAGCGTCTCTACTACAAATTTTAAAAATTGCCAGGTGTGGTGGCACGCGCCTGTGGTTCCAGCTACTTTGAAGGCTGAGGGAGAAGGACCGCCTGAGCCCAGCAGGTCAAGGCTGCGGTGGCCCTGAGTGTGCCACTGCACTACAGCCTGGGCGCCAGAGTGAGACTCTAACTCAAAATAACAACAACAAAAACAAAAACATAGATACTATGCATCAGCAATTCAAGAAATTTCAGATTAAGTCCTAAATTTTGTTTCTATTTTTCTTTTTTTTGGTACCCATCACAGAAAGTTGCAGACTTAGAGCAAGCAAGCTTAGACTACCTTAAATGTGCTAATTACACAGAATTAATGCAAAAACAAGAAAAAAATGGCTCAAATTAATTTTAAATCTAACACATTTTCCCTTGTAGGGTTTGAACTTAGCTACCATCTGAATTCAAATCCTAGCTCTTCCATTTACTACCTGTGTGATTTCAGGCAAGCTGTTTATCTTCTCTGTGCCTTATCTTTCTTTTTTACAAAATTTGATTAACAGAATATCATTTAGTTCATGGTACTGTCATGAAGACCAAATGTGATAATACATGTGAAAAATTAAAAGTAGTCCCTTGATTCAAATAAGCTTTAAAAATATATTTTTCTACTATTATTTCTCTAAAGAAAAGGAAAAATTGAACCACAGATGCATTCTTAAGTACAGTTGCTTGAATTATCTTGGAAGAGGAAAATAGAAATGTGTCATTTCTCACCTATAAGCTACAATATATAAATGAAACAAGTGACATATTTAGACATGTGTATATATTTCTCTAAGGAAATCTAGTATTTCTTTCTTATAGTCCCATGAGCTAAAGAATATATTTCATTCTTTTTAAATAAACTATTAAACTGTAAAGTAACTGAAGGATGAGATATAACTTGCAAAATCCAGAGGAAAACAGTAAAATCACAAAGTAGTCTTTGGTAATTATTGTTTGGAAATTCAAAAGTTCCCATATTTATTTTTAACAAGTTTCATTTGTGAACATATGCAATATTTTTACCAAGTCTCTGTACCGACCTTGAGAGATTTTTTCCCCATCACGGAAATGGTGTTATCCTGCCACCTAGTGGAAGAACTATAACACTACAGGGACACTAAAAATTTATGAGGCCTCAAAAGAACAAAATCATTTTGTGTTTTGACATTATAAGCTTTAATTCTTGAAAGTGGATCTGAGGATAAGAGTGATTTTATGATGTTGCAAGGATAATTATTTAAATTAAAATCAGTACACATGAGATATTCTAAAATAAGTAAAATGCCCAACTTTGGGCAAATTGAGTAAATAGTGTACAACTATTAATATAAATACTTCTCTATAGAGCAGGCGTGGTGGCTCAAATGCCTATGATCTCAGCACTTTGTAAGGCCGAGGCAGGACAATCGCTGGATCCTAAAAGTTTTAGACTAGCCTGTACGATATAGCTAAACCTCGTCTCTATAAAAAAATTAGCAGGGTGTGATGGCCTGCACCTGTATTTCCCAGTTACTGGAAAGGCTGAGGTGGAAGGACTGCCTGAGCCCAGGAGGTCAAGGCTGCGGTGAGCCATGATCGTGCCACTGCACTCCAGTGTGGGCAACAGAGTGAGATTCTGACTTTAAAAAAAAAGAAAGAAAGAAAATTAGTGATGAGAAATATTTCATAATACTTCATTAGACCTAATTTTTAATGTTGCATCAAATTGAAATCTTTTAAAAACATATTCCTGTACTTATATAAAACATAACAATGGCAACAAAAACGTATTTTCTATATGCATAAATGTAAACACAAACACAATCATTTTGTCCATTATCCTTGTTTTGTAGTTACTGATTTGCCAAGATTAAGAAACAGCCAGGCCAGAAAAAAGGGGCTGGAACTTCTAACTTCAAGCATGATGGTTTTGATACCACACAATGTTACTCAAGGCTTCTTCACAACACAAAATCAAATCTCGGTGATCCAATATTTTCATTTGAAACCAATTGCCTAAAATATATAGAGCTATCTTAAGTGATTTATGTTTGAGCATTTTTCACACATATCCATGGGTAGGTAGGTAGGTAGGCAGATACATTATTTTAAAAAGACGTTTCTAAATAATAGAATTGTATACACTGTTAAAAAGGACACATTTGTGAGAAAGTGAGCAGAGTGATCTCCAAAAGAAGTTCACCTTAATATTTGTGAGACCTGAGGCCTCCTGGAACCCCTGACTGCAGTCCTCATCTCTCTTTACCCTGCTCCAACTCATACTCTGAGGGAGCTTCATGACATGCCTCTATGACACCCCAGTCCACAAATACAAGCTCAGACCACACCCCCCCCCCACATACCCCATTTCTACCCTTATCCTAAAAGCAGGCTCTATAGTTTGTGCCAAGAATCTGTATTTTGGTGACCTTCAATGAGTTTGAGCTCTAGATGGGCATTTTGCATTGGCTCCCATGCAGTCCACACCAGCTCCTCGCCCTGTGTGGGGGAACACTGTGGAAAGACAGAGTTGGGTCAACTAAAGTGAGTAAGGGTGGCTGGCACTGGCATACATGGGGTGGAGGGAAGGTACGAAATGATGGTGCCAAAGATCCTCATGATTGGCATTTTTCTTAGCTAATCTATCCTAGGGTCTTGATCTAGAGTATAGATCATCAAACTTTCCACAGAAGCAAGGAAGACAGAAACTAAAGACAAGTGTCATGATATTCCTTTATCTGTCCTGACCTGTGAGAAACTCAGGTGAAAAATTAGTCTATCCAATATCGCTATGAAGACTTGTTTTCCCTCCCAATATGAGGTATCTGTCCTACAGTCTGTGTTCATTTTGCAAGAGGCATGAATATGTCAGATCTATATGGCATCATTTTACTACAGGAAGACACACGTATAGACTTACCATGCTGTTCATTTTTGAAGATGAGGAACCTGCTCTCTGTTTTCTTAAACTGTTAACTTCTTCTGTGTTTCCATCTTTTGGTTTCAGAATCATTCTGCTACTCCCTGCAGTTCCTTCTGATGAGGATCGCAGTCTCCTCTCTATAAATCTTCCTTCACGAAATGGACTGAGGCTACTGGCAAGCACTATTAAAAGAAAAAGAAATAAAAATTAATGTAAATATTTAAATGTTGTTTTTGTAATGTTCCATTGAAAGATAACGGAGCACTCTCCTAGTGTCATTCAAAACTTCTCTATCACAAGAACATTTTGAAATTTATAGCATCAGTTTAGTTTGCTGATCATGTAATCTATTTGAAGCCCAAAACTTTTGGAGTCATCCTTGGCTTCTCCATAGCTCATATCAATCCTTATTTCCTTCAAATTGTACACAGAATCACATCCCTTCTCACTATCTCCCCAACTGAAACCCTGGACCAAACCCCATCGATGCATGACTGGGTTACTGCAACTCTTGGTACAAATCTCCTGCATCTGCCTCCTCATCCCGCAATACATCATCGATTTTTCACATGGTAGCCGGAATGATACACTTAAAACATAAGTGAGATTCATCCATACTCAGTGATCTATCACAAAAACAAAGAACAGAGTACTATATGTTCTCACTCATAAGCTGACCTTGATCAATTATCATAATACTGTAAGAAAGGGATTGGCAGTAGTGGGAAACTGCCAGGGGAGTAGGGGTGCAAATGACAGTTAGAGGAAACTGCTAGGGGAGGGAGAGGCACACCTCATCAACAAGTGTACCTGCATAATCAACATTCGTACACCTAAATCCTGAATTGCATCCTATATCTTTAAAATAAGATAAAAAAATAAGTGAGATCCATCACCATTACTCCTCTAGTCAAAAAGCTGATGCTTCTTTCCAAATGATCTAACAAGTTCCTAACAAGAGCAATTTCTCTGTCCCCATACCACGGGCAGTGGGATTGCCCTGGCCACCTGCTCACCTTTCTAACCTCATCTTCTGTTTTTCCCTCCTTCACTCTGCCCATGCCGTACTGGGCCTCTTGCTGCCACTGGAACATTGCAAGTATGCTCCAGTCTTTGATCCATGACCTTTGCACTAATATATTTCTCTTACATATATGTATGGCTTATTCCCTAAATTCCTCCAAAACTTTGCTAATATGGTACCGTGAGTACCACTCTGCTCATAATTTAAAAATGCAAACCACAATCCCACCTCCCACTTCCTAATCCTTTATTCTACTTTAAACTTAGTCTCAACAGTTATTACCATCTGGTATTTATTGTATTTGTTTGAGTGATAATTGTCTGAGTATACCCAGAAGAAAGTAATCATCATAAAGATAGGGATTTAGGCCTCTTTTGTGCATTGCTATGCCGTCAGTGCTGAAAAGAGTGTTAAAACAATAAATATCTGTTGAATAAATGAACAAGTGAATGAATAAATGAATTGTTATATTAGGCTTATACAGTGGTTTAATGACTGTCCAGAACCTATTAGTCATTCACACACTAATTCTTCTGAAATAACTTTTTAAGCCAATCAATAAAAGTTAAATTGCCAGAAAGCTCACCATTCCATTATTAATTATGATATAATTGTACACCTAGTATACTCAGATTGTATTAAGCGCTAGCTTAAATGTTTCCTAATAAATACAATAAATGTAATATTATGAAATTTAGTGTGTATAGCAACTTTCACTTGTATAAAACATATTTACTTAGCTGGTTTTAAAATTTTAAACTTCTAAGTTACAAAATTCTTATGAGCATCACACAAATATTCTCACACAATAAAATATAGTATACTGTCTTTGGTGATATTACCAGCCTATTTATCCAAGAATAGGCAACATATCATCAAGTCAGAAAAATTAATGGATTAATGTATTACAGTTAGGATCTCAACCAACAGATGAAGAATCACCAAAATAATTGTTGGCCATTCCTGAATTTCCAAAGGACTTAATTAGATGTTGAGAGAAGTCATCACTGCTAAATAAGAGCTGGATATACCAGAATAATTGCATTTCTATCCTTTTTTTGTGGCATTCTTTTTAAGAACCACCTGGACTTTGGTCTGAAGTTCATCATTTTACTGACAATGTGACTTTGTAAAGTTATTTAACTTAATTCTAAATTTTAGTTATTAGTAACTGCTATGCACAATTTTTGTAAGGATTATAAGAAATTATACATTTAAATTTCATTGCACATTTTTGGGCACATATTAAGTGTACAAAGAGGGCAACCATCATCAACATCATCATTAGCATATTCTCATAACTATATTACAGGTAAAAAAAGGGGGAGAAGTAGGTATGACTAAAGCCAAGAGCACAGACAAGGCTACCAAATTTTAAAAAAACACATACAAGTGACATTGTATCAAGTGTGAAAAATATTAAGAAAGTTGGAAAAGTAAGTCATGCATTTAAAACTTTTAAACTACTAAATTTATGGAGAAACTATATAATCCTATGACTCTTGACTTTGTAATATATCATTTGACTTCTCATAAATTTTGCTTAATATTTTGGGTCATGACACATAGTAAAGCATAGTTAGGAAGAGCCTGAGCCTTTGATTCAGTTAGTTGTAATTTGATTGTGCTACTTATCAGTTGTATGATCCCTTGGTCTCAGTTTTCACTTCTGTAAAATGAGAAACATACAAGCCTACCAACACAGGGTTTGTAACCCAATCAATTACTTATTAACTTTGTAACTGTGGACACAATTTATTTGTGCTACAATTTTCTTGTCTATAAAATAGTAACACTCTATTTTAATCATAATAGCAAATTCAGTCCTTTTTTTTTTTTCTTTTTTTTTTTTGAGATGGGGTCTTGCTCTGTTGCCCAGACTAGAGTGCAGTGGCAAAATCATGGCTTACTGCAGCCTTGAATTCCTGGGCTCAAGTGATCCTCCCACTTCAGCCTCCCAAAACCATTTTTAATTAGTTTGTGCAAAGTACACAGAATTGTACCTAGAACATAATAATGATATTCAAAATTGGGGAAATAATCAGTAGTACTAGCAGTAGCAGCAGAAGTAGCAGTAATAATAGTAAAAAGAATAAATAATAATGTCAAATACAGTTCACGAGATGATACACATTCAGCAATTTTCTTGAATTAAATTTTGTGTCAGATAACAAAGTTTTCTAGAGCCACATTAGACTAATTCTCACACACTCCCATTTTTTCTTAACCAAAGACAAAATATTCAAAGTTCCATAGCTATTTAATGTCAGAGGCAAGGTGGGAACACAGGTCTCCAGGTTCCAAAGATAGCATTTTTAAAATTTTTTATACCTGGAGATAGGAATAATTTATGCTGAAACATGGAACCTATTTAACAATGGAAGTTTTGTTAACATAAGAAACAGAATTAAATTATACAAATTTTAATAGTGATTTTGGCTGGAACATATTCATGTAATTAATGAAGAAATAACAATATCTCTATAATAAACTTTTTTAAAATAGTCCTTATTTTAGAAAAAGCCACATTGCCAACAGAATTTGTTTCCTCACAAGTTCTTCTGAGGGTCAGAAACTGGGTAACATAACTAAGAAAAATGAACAATTTTATTGAATTTCATTTCCAGCATAATAGACTTAAGGTAAGTTTAAAATTAAGCATGAAAAATATTTAAAACAAATTATGAACAGGAAACAATGTAGAGAGTGAAAAAAGAGGACAATGAGGTTTCCAGTCATGAGATGGAGCAAGAAAACTGAATAAATTACAATGAATACTAATTCATACCATCTGTTATATGAAGGAAATCAGCATACCTTTGGCAGGATTTGCTTCATATCCATATGATGTTTTGTTGAAAATAAGATGATCACCAGAAGAAGGTATTATCTTTGAATCTGAAATAGGATGGATCCCTTTAACACGTTCTGCTATTGCTTTATGTTGCTCATAAAATCCAAGTTTACTTGGGGAGTTTGCACCCAGGATTGTATCATCACTTTGTAACCCTGTATTTGCTTCTTTTTCGGTATCTGCTGGTGGGTTAGTCTCTGAGCTGTTCGCATTCATAACAGGCAGCTCCGTGATTTGCAATGTCACTTCCTTCTGATTAGCAGCAGAGGTTTCTGGCAAGGAATGAGGTTCCGTGCTACATCGACCTTCTAACCTACATTTCCCGGGAGACATAATTACACAGGGAACAGTTCCTATAAGTTCTATTGTCTTTGTAACAGCAGCAGGATTGAGAGAAATCTGAGAGGTAGAATCATTGTGGTCAAAGTTGTCACAGTGGGATGCCATGCTTCCACTTTTAGGAAATGCATCCATTTCAGACATAGAATCTTCAGTCAAGGCTAGAAATTCTGAAGGTGTCTGAGCTGTGGTAAGATCAGCAGAAAGCAAAGGAGACTGTAAAGAGCTTCCTGCCCGTTCTGTTACATCCACAGAACAAGATGGAGAAGCTCTTGCTAATACAGGTTCTCTTTCTTGGTACTGTGTAATTTCCAGTGAGAATTCAGACTGTTGTACCACTGAAATGGATTGGCTCTGCAGAATTGGCTTAGAAAATTTATAGTGAGATGAAAACGATTTAGGGAGTAGCTTTCTTGTTGACTGCTTAACAGAATGGCGAGTTTGTTCTTCTGTGAATCCAGAATCATCCCCCTCACTTTTGCCAGAACTTAGACAATTTATAAAGACATTCTTATTAGTTGAGTGCTCCTTTTCCCTTTCAAAATCCTCCGTCAAAGATCTCGTTATCTTCTTATTCCGTGAACTACTAAAACCAACAGAATGTCTTCCCCTGGTTTTAACATGTTCTTCCAAATTCAGTTTCTGCATATTGCTGTGACCAGGTTGAGCACCATTTGAAATACTAAGGTTCTGGTTGGTAGGTTCTTGCTTAGACTCGCTCCCCTTCTTATGGTGGAAGCTAATGGAAGGAGTACGGAATATGCTCCTACGTTTACCTGTACTACCTGAGCTTGAGTTAGTGCTGGAAGGAGAGGAACTGTGGACACCAACTGTATTACTGGAAGAGGGTGAAGAAGGAAGAGACTCATGTCTTCTGCTAATACTTCTTCTGAATATTGGCAACCGGGACACCAGGGTAGATCGTCTTGATCCTGAGTCCCCCATTGGGACTCCAAGGCTTGCACTGTGATAGCCAACTTAGCAGCCTGAGAAAAGTTAAAACAAAAAGAACACGTCAATGGAATTCAATTACATGTTAAATTCCATTACAAATTAAAATATTAAAATTCTGATCCTTAATAAGGATTTTGTAAAAATTTATACACAGTAAAAATGATCCAACAATTTGCACAGAAATTGTATAATGATGCAAAGATTTCAAGATTATAAAAAAAAAATTGAAGGTCTACTCAAGATTGTTGGGTTGGGAGACACAAGATCAGTATTTAAAACCCAGCCTTGCTACTCAACAACTAGTGCTATAATTTTGGTAAGTTGCTTGACCTTAACTTTTTATGTTTATTCAGTTAGATGTAGCAGGCTTGTGACAGCCATGATCACTGGCATCTGAGTAAATATCCCATAGTGGCTCCTCTTGGAGATCACCAGATGCGTGCATGTTTCATATCACATGACTCAAGTTATCAACTCAAGCTTAACAGAATTACAAGTGAGACAATGGTATAATCTGACACTAAAAATACCAAGAAATCAAATAGGACAGATTCTTCTTGGAGTATGGTTTGGAACATTTGGAGATAAGCAGGCCATTGGCAGAAAACCAAATCACAAAAAATATAGAGTCGGTTATCGCAGCTCTGAATTGAAGAAAAAACTTGAATCAACACTAAATCAATTGGTAATCTTGAGAGAGAAGTGAGACTACATGAGAGAAGCAGAAGCATAGAAAATGTATCTACCATATTAATGTCAGGGTACAATAGTGAAGAAGAAGGAGGAGGAAAGAGAGGAGAAGGCGACGGCTGCAGTTCATCAACTGTGATATATCAAGTACTTTTCCAGATTAGCTTTTTCACTGCTTATAACACTAGAGGTTGGTAATATTGTTTGTACATTTTACAGCAGAAAGATAACTTGCCTAAGGTCACTGAGCTTCCCAGTAGTAAAGCAGGAATAAGAAACTAAGCTTTTTCTAACTTCAGGGCAGCTCATAACCAGCATAATACACACTGCATGCACTAGAATGAGGAAGAATCAAGGGCTTATGCCACACTTCCATGTCAGGAATTCAAACTTGTGCCACCAAAGTTACTGTTCTAGTGACTGCTCTTTTTCATGGATTTTTAAATTGTACCTGATGTGTCTCCTGTTTGCTTTGCTTTAGTTTTGAATTCCATCTAAACTTTCAGCTGTAATGTCTGCTCCCCTTTGGTCAACCTGAATCAGACTCTATTTCACTTTATTAGTTTTTGCAAATAAAACTGCCTGACTAAACACTAACAAATACTACACGAAATTACAACTCCTCCATTTCATCATTCTTATAGAGATGAGAATTGATCAAGCAAAATACTGTCATTTCCTTGAAGAAGTATATGACAAAAATAGGAGATATTTTCTTTAAGATATGCATTCACAAATATTTGATATTTTGCTCAAAACAGTATGAAATCTGACACATTTGCATCATAAGACTTCTACTGGATATTTTTATCACAATCACTGAATTTGGGTCAGTTTTTAAAATGTTTTATGTTTAAATGGCAAATAATAATGATACATACTTATGAGGACAAGGTGATGTTTTATTATGCTTACACTGTGGGATGATATGAGGGAAGACTAAAAAAAACTGGAATTATCTTTTGGGGGAGCGGGCCCCTTGTAATACAGACTTCCCTTTCAAGGTAAGTGTTCTAGAAACTCACTGGCCTCAGCACACCAGCTAGAGATATTGTGAGAGACTGCGTTTGGTTTCAGTGAATTTTTTTGATGCAAAGTGGTGACATGACAACGCACTTGCCCATACAGCACTGAGTGTTCAGGAGTTTGGGGCCAAAAACAGCATGAGCCCCATGCTCTACCCTTCCTATTCACCCGATCTCACCCAGAGTGATTTTTGTGTGTGTGTTTCCCGAGATGAAAAAAGCCCTCAAAGGGAAAAATTTGGCTCACATGGAAGAGGTGAAACAAAAAACAGTAGAAGCACTAAAAGACATCAAAACTGATGAGTTCAAAACTGTTGTGAGCAGTAGAAAAAGCATCTTGATAGGTATATTGCATCAAATGGAGTGTACTTTGAGGGTGACTAAAGTTTAAACATGTAAGAATAAATGCACAATTTTTTATAAATAAATTCCCAGTTTCTTGACCCTCCCCTTTTAAAATCAAGTGAATGAACATACCTATCACCTCACATCCATATCATTTTTTGTTGTGAGTAAAGATGTACTCTTCTAGCAATTTTGAAATGCACGTTTATTACTATTAGCTGTAGTCACCATGCTGTGAAATGAATCTTTTTTTTCTCCTTTCTAACTGAAGCTTTGCACCCATTAAACAGCTCCCCATTCCCATGGCCCCACCACCCCAGCTGCTGGTAACCGCTATCCTCCTCTCTGCTTGATGAGTTTTATTTTTTTAGAGTTTCACATATAAATGAGATCATGCATTATTTGTATTTCTGTAGCTGGCTTTGTTCACTAAACATAATGTCTTCCAAGTTTATCCATTTGGTCACACATGACAGAATTTTCTTTCTTTTTTAAGGCTGACTAGTATTCCATTGTGTGTGTGTGTGTGTGTGTGTGTGTGTGTGTGTGTACGCACATGAAAATGCATGCCACATTTTCCTTATCCATTTATCCACTGATGGACACTTAGGTTTGTTCCATATCCTGGCTTTGTGAATAACGCTGCAATAATCATAGGAGTGAAGATATCTCTTCAACATACAAATTTTAATTCCCTTGGCTATGTACCCAGACGGAGGATTGCTGGATCATATGGTAGTTCTTATTTTCGTTTTTTTGAGGAAGCTCCATAATGTTTTCCATAATTTCTGTACTGATTTACATTCCCACAAGCAGTGTGCAAGGGTTCCCTTTTCTTCACATAAATCGGTGTTTAAATCAAACTATATGTGAACCATTCCCAAAATATTTCAGTATTCTTGTTTGGCTTTGGTTGAAAAAACCTTAAAATGTAAACAGACATTTTTACTCTTGAAATTTTCCACAAATAAAAATGTGTCATTTTCCTCACAGCTTAGAGTTTCCAAAGTGGATATAATGAATAATACATTTTTTAGATTCTACTCTTAAAATGTTTTAATTTACATCATTTTCAGCTATGATTTATTCATGTATACGCAACATTTATTTCCATTCAATGCCTTCTAAAGAACTTTGCTCTAATTAGACCATTAGCAACTATAATGATTTGCAGCTAGTTGTGAACCTATAGACTTCAATGCCTTAATGTCAAGATATTAACCATAATAATTGAAATATTCAAAATTTATGGTATATTGAAATTTATGCATATTAAAGCATTTTCTATATTTGGATCAGCATTGAGAATAAAAGTCCCATATATCTTCACCAAGTATTCAAAGGATTTGACTAATGAAAAAAATTTCATTTTTTTTGTGGCTATTGTGAATGGGATTGTGCTTTTCACTTGGATTTCTGTTTGTCTATTGTCAGTGTATAGGAATCCAACTGGCTTTTACACATTTATTTTATACCCTGAGACTCTGCCAAAGTCCTTTATCAGTGCAAGGAGGTTTTTGACAGATTCTCTTGGGTTTTCAAGGTATAGAATCATGTCGTCTGCAAAGAGGGATAACTTGACTTCCTCATCTCCTATTTGGATACTCCTGATTATCTTCTCTTGTCTAATTGCTCTAGCTAGGACATCCAATACTATGTTAAACAGGAGGGGTGAAAGTGAGCATCTTTGTCCTGTTCCGGTGTCCAGGGAAAACAGTTCCAATTTCTGTCTGTTTAGCAGTATGTTGGCTGTAGGTTTCTCATAGATGGTTCGTATTATTTTGAGGTATGGTCCATCTATGCCTAGATGTTCAAGGGTTTTTATCAAGAGGGTGTTGGAAGGACCTTTACAAAGAAAACTAAAAAATACTGCTTCAAGGAAATGAAAGATGACACAAACAAATGGAAAAATATTCCGTGCTCAACAACATCAGTGAAGAACCTTACAGAATCAACATTGTTAAGACATCCATCTGACCCAAAACAATCTGCAAATTTAACACAATGTCCATTAAATTACCAGCAGCATTCTCAGAACTGGAAATGACAATACAGGAATTCATATGGAAATGTAAACAACCACTAATAGCCAAAACAATCCTCAGCAAAACAAAAAACAAAAAGCGGGAGGCATCCATCATGCTCCTAGACTTTCAATTTTATTATAAAACCACAATAAGCAAAACAGTCTGGTATTGGTATAAGAACAGGCATATAGACAAAAGGAACAGGACAGAGATTCCAGAAGCAAAGCATCAATTTTTCAACCAACTCATCTTTGACAAAGCCTCCACCATCGACCACTGGGGAGAGGAGAATCTATTCAGTAAATGGTGCTGGGAAAACTGACCACAAGCAGAAGACTAAAACAAGATCCCTACCTATCACCATACACAAAAATAGACTCTAAATGGATCAAAGACCTAAATGCAAAACCTCAAACTATAAGAACCTTAGAAAATGCAGGCGACACCCTAATGGAAATTGGAACTGGTAACAAATTCCTGATCAAAATTCCAAGTGCCCATGACATAAGAAATAAGATAGACAAGTGGGACCTTATCAAGCTGAAATCTTTTGCAAAGCCAAAGAAACCACTGAGAGAGCAAAGAGATAGCCCATAGAGTAAGAAAAAATATTTGCCAACTCTATATCTGACAAAGGCCTACCATCTACGACCTACAAGGAACTCAAATGTGCTGAAAAGAAAAAAAGAAACAGTCCCACTACAAAGTGGGCAAAAAATATGAATAGACACCTCTCAAAAGAAGGCATACAAGGAGCCACAGATACATGAAAAAATTCTCAGCTTCACTAATCATTAAAGAAATGCAAATTAAAACCACACTGAGATACCACCTAACTCCAGTCAGGATGGCCATCATCAATAACTCAAAAAACAACAGATGCTGGAGAGGATGTGGGGAAAAGGGAACAATTCTATACTGTTGGTGGGAGTATAAACTAGTACA